ATGTTCGTTACCTGCAGTTACCATGACACGTTCATTACCTGCAGTTACCATGATATGTTCATTACCTGCAATTAGCATGATATGTTCATTACCTGCAATTAGCATATGTTCATTACCTGCAGTTAGCATATGTTCATTACCTGCAGTTAGCATGATATGTTCATTATCTGCAGTGAACATGATACATTCATTACCTGCAGTTAGCATGTTATGTTCGTTACCTGCACTAAGCATGAAACGTTCATTACCTGCAGTTAGCATGATGCATTCATTACCTGCAGTTAGCATGATGCATTCATTACCTGCAGTTAGCATGATGCATTCATTACCTGCAGTTTGCATGATGCATTCATTACCTGCAGTTAGCATGATGCTTTAAAGGCATTTATTTTGCATTCACAGAAATATCATGAAATTCCTGCAAAATGTAAGCCAGGCCGCACCAGAAGTGTTACAGCTAGCTGCTACTGCCACTGTGTGCTTTATGAAAGAACATATGCATGAACCATTATGTTTTATGATGGTCTCTGCCTCGTTCAGATAGCCATTTGTTGTCAGTTTGGCCAAGATTAAACTCTAGTTTCTCTAAACTGAGATTAAGCCATCAACAACAGGTGGAAAAATGTACAGATGCACACTTGAAAAATATCTGAATTATCCCTTGAATGTTTTTAACTGTGATTTTGATGCAGATGTGGAGGATCACGATTGTTAGTTCACGGTTAGAGCTTTCAGAGCCAACTTTTGAAAGCTTTGTTCCAGTTTGTCAGAGCTGGACTTCAGAGAGATCATTTTATATCTGATCCTGAGTTCATGAAGTTTTGGGGAATCGCTCAACAAACTGAAAACATTTTGAAGGAGTTCAACATCTCATCTTTTCCAATATTTAAACAAAAGGCTGTACAACATTTAATTTACGAGCATTGCCTCCCAACCTGTTCAACACATTAGCAGACTGCAGGTGTGTTTCTGTAGAGAATGTTTTCATCTTGTACTGATGTCAACAAAAAATAAAAATACTGCTTCAGAATCAAAATACTTCAAACTGCACCACCTCATTGTTCCATTGTTTACATCAATTACAGAAAGCAAAGAAGCTGGGAAGAAAAAATGAAAAGAACCAAACTTAAATATGTACACGTTTTTCCATCCATCCATTTTCTTTACCCACTTCTTCTTTTTGGGTTGCGGGGGTCACAGGTGCCCAAATCCAGCAGTCACTGTGCGAGAGTCGGGGGACAGCCTGGACAGGTCTCCAGTCCATCACAGGGAGCATAGGCATCACAACCATTATATGTGAAGGGAACAAGTCCCCCCCACATTAAAAAAAACGTTCATTTGGACCCCCCCCCCCCACTTTTACTATCACTTCACCACTTGCTCTCACCGAGATTGGATGCTTCTCCCTTCCCTCTCTGCTTTGCTTTGCTGCTCTGTCTGTCTGTGAAACTGCTTCTGAGCCTCTCTTGCATCTTCTGAACCATAATTATGGACTTGTTTTGATCAGTTGCTCCCTCAACATAATTTACAACATTTCTTCGAAGAGAAGACGGGCTTTAGGTGAGCCGATTTCCTGTTGGCACACACACAGCTGGATATCTCATTGATTTGGAAGACGATGATGTGTCTATCTCTGCTGCCATCTGTGGATTTTAAGGACGCATATTTAATTGGATTTACAATAACTGGTTCCTGCTTTTTGGATTCGGCTGGTCGCTGGTTTATCTACAATCAAGGAAGTCGTTTGCAGAAAATTTGGACCCGATCACGCTGCTTGCCTTTATGATGGCTTGGTTCGTGTCTCGAGTACCCAGACTTTGGGCTGAATGGATCAGATCTTGGGGATTTTACTCAGTCACGTTTCATCGGTATGTCCATGTAATATGGACATTTCGGAACCGAGTGGACCAACACAGACTCAAGGTAGATGTCATTAAGTTCTGCCTGTCCCCAAAACAACTGTGTGTTTATCTGAAGTTGGCTCCCTTGGCTGGCCTTGAAGGCCATCTTATCTGAATTCGCCTGGAGAACATGTGATCTGACGCTCACCACCCTCTCCCTGAGGAATTTCCAACTGATAACCAGACGAAACCAGCTGAATAAACTTTGTGTCATCATTTCAGGACTCTTGGATTCTCATAGTCGTTATTCTTGGCCATTCCTCGACATACCTCGAGAATGTTTATGGATCTCACCGGAGGACATTGACTGATTATTCCTTCCTTATCAGAACTCTTACAGTCACCTCGAGAGCATCTATGAACATTGCTGACCGCTCTCGTCTCCCCGTCTGCAGATTGTCTACGTAAATATGTGCTTGTTTGTGCGAGGTGTTTTTTTTAACATTAGAGGTTTTTTTTTTTTTCTCAGGCAGGAAAAAAAAAGTCTGATAGGAATTTTTTTCACCTCCAATTCCTACGTGTGTCCAGTTAACCACTGTTTTTGTCTGTCCAAACAGGTCTCAACTGTAAATGAGTCTTTGAGGCTCAATGTGATTTATCTGTTTAAATAAAGGTTGAATGAATGACAAAAACTATGAAACATTAGTTCAGGCGGTGCAGTTTCTCTTTCTTCGTGAACAAATCCATTCCACTTGACTAATAGGAGAATACTCAAACCACTAAAACTCCTCTCCAGGTTTTCCAGGTTACCTCCAACTCTAAACACAGCAGCCTGTTGCCACGGTCACAATATAAGGAGGTCACAGAATATGGTGTAACACCTGCAGTGTTTCTGTGTGTCTCCTCCTGCCTCGGCAGAAAACGCGCACAGGTCTAGGAGATGGAGACACCTCTGTGTTACTCGCTCGCCAGTTTAGCAAGCTTTGTGCGGGCCTGACGCTCTGTATTAAAGTGTACTAAAGTGAAAATTACTTTAAACCCACAGCTGAATTTACACAAACTTTGTGAGAAACATGTTTTAAATGTGTGGAATTAAAGGAAATCCACTCACTTTGGATGTTATCAGCCATAAAATGGCCGTTATTAGTTGTTATCTCCATATGTAGACCTACTAGGAGGTAGGTGGGACAGTTTGACCGCTACATATGGGGATGATAACAACTAATAACGGCCATTTAATGGCTGATAACATCTGAAGCCGCTTGGAAAACTAGGTGAAATGTTGCTTTTTTGTACACTAGTGAACACCTTTTTTTTTACGCGCGCACACACACCTACACACATCGTCGTGTCCCTCCCACATTACAGATGCTTCTGACGCCCTTGACAGGGCCACATAGAGACAAACGAGACAAACAACCATTCACTCTCTCACTCGCACTTAGAGACAATTCAGAGTTACCAATCAGCCTAACATGCATGTTTTTGGTCTGTGGGAGGAAACCGGAGTACCCGGA